GCTGTGTACCTACTAGTTACCCAAGCTACCCTCGAGGACTCTACTCCAGAGAAACGTGGCTATTAGCTAGCCAGCTCAGCATCTTGTTTCATGAGTACTGCAATTTTCGAACAAGTTGAACACGACATACTAGGATCGTGTTATTTGGAAAATACTTCAAGGACACTATGTTGCCCGGGCTTGGATATCCTTGCTCTACTGGCTTGGATGTCCTTGCTCTACTGGCTTGGATGTCCTTGCTCTACTGGCTTGGATGTCCTTGCTCTACTGGCTTGGATATCCTTGCTCTACTGGCTTGGATGTCCTTGCTCTACTGGCTTGGATGTCCTTGCTCTATCTCACGCAATGACCGCACGTCTTGTAATCTAACGTTGGCTGCACTTCACCCCAGACACTCGTACCTAGCTGTGAGCTCTTTCTGTCCCAGTGACGTCTGTGACTTGCCTGAAGCGTTTGACTTTGTCAATGTCACTAGACGCTGTATGGAACCATACGCCCACGGGTTGTACAGCGGCGTGGGCTACGTACCGAGATGTCGCCGCAAGATGTGACAATTGCCATTTCCAAGCTGTGAACGGCATGGCTGCCACAGCACTTACAGCAAGAACACATACACACACACCATCACACACTCACTTTCTTTATCTGCTCAAAAGAAAGCCCGCGTTTTATTAGCGTTCTCAATTATTGCTAATTTGTGTTACGCACCTTTATGTAATGTTGCAGTTCAATACTGTAGTGCAGAAGTGTAATCGCAGCTACTGACCCACACAGGTTATCTACGTCTTCTCGAATGTCGACTGCCAGATAACCTGTACTGGCTTCTGTCCTGCCGTCCATGCTAATCAGGAAATAGTACAATACAATATTGTGCTGCTCCCTGATGCTAACTGTAACAGGTGACAATAGCTAGACTGTCGACCTGTCCTGAGACCGAGTATGTGTGCATTGCAAGATGTGCTGCTGATTCCCTGCAGTCGCATACTTCTGTCTTCGCAATGTACATGACGGTACTACAGAATACCGATTTACCCTACACCAGCCTCCTCGTTTGGCTCTCTCTGTCTCTGCCTGTCTCTTTCTCTCTCTGTCTGTCTGTCTGTCTGTCTCTCTGTCTGTCTGTCTGTCTGTCTGTCTGTCTCTCTCTCTCTCTCTCTCTCTCTCTCTCTCTCTCTCTCTCTCTCTCTCTCACACACACACACACACACACACACATGCGCACGCCCAACACACACATGTCTAGCACAGCTTGGTATAGCTACCTAAGGTAACAAAAAGTCAAGTCACCCACTGTATTGAGTACATCATAACTAGGCACCACAAGGATACCACACCCGTACTCCGATCCGCACTACTGTAATGAACCACACAGCAGTACAGAGCTGCTCAACATCACCACCACGTGGATCGCTAGGAAATGAGTGAAACGTGTGCGTACACACGGAAACAGCATGCCCGCATGCTAATACTCCGTCTAGAAAGATTGTCATCTGAAGATTACATGCATCTGCACTCCAGATGGCATTGTAACTGTTAAACACGCAGCAGAATGGCGAGGCTGGATGATGTAATGTCAACTGCTAGGCCGCACGGCGCATCATATTTATCGCCACGATGTGTTCTGACTAGCTGGGCAAAGCGAGCGTCTTTGGCAAGCTGTTCTATCACCTGGCACCAGCAGATAAATTTGAGCATCTTTGCTTGACAACAATCAAGTCCCGCCACACGTGGCCCCAGTGTTCGTAACCTTGGTGACCACGTTGGATTGTGATAATTATAGTGCAGGAGGCAGAGGAGGCGCAGCACAATCACACACATTTGAGGATGTGGCATGATCCCGCATTGGAATCAAGAATACTAGTGGTCTGCAGTTGATTTAGCTGCTTTTCAAGCCAGACCCTGCATTACTCATTTGAGTGTCCGAGTTGGTTTGCAGGCCCTTGAGCATTTCCTCCAGCTGCCTGTCAGCACGGGCTTCTGCCGTACTGGGGCGCGATGGCGGCAGCGGATGACTCTTGCGATACTTCTCCTCTGCATACACACCCGCTGCACCTACAAGGGCTGTCAACGGCAAGAAAACGTACGCAGCCGATTCTCCCATACCGGCTCTGGCCAGGACCTGAACAACGACCTGCCACACCATGTTGGCAACACCACTCCGCTTGTACTTCAACTACTGCCTACTGTTATTCACTATTGGCAAGAAGACAGGCAGCAATGCCAATGGCTGCTCCTTTATTAGACTCTCTCAACAGATACAGATACTGATACTGGTACACACATTCAGGCACAAGCGCCTTCACTGGCGATACGTGATGCCAGAAACAAATTAACACCAAAAGTCACGCATGAAAAGCAGTGAGTCGGGCTCGATCATATCAAGGAACATTCGACGTCGGTACGGAACTCTGTCTTCCAGCTCCTTTCCTTGTGAGTTTATTAATATCAAGCAATGCGGAAGAAAAAAACTTTCTCCAACAACAACAACAAAATTAATTATTATCTGTGATGAAAGACCAAAGGCAACACGTGCACACCAGGTACACCGTACATACACCGTAGATAGGCCTACGTATTTAGCGTATCCCGTACCCGTCGTACGGTACCGGTGTGAAGCTTTCGCCGTTACGCAATATGCCGATGAATATGACGCAATGGCTGTCAAGATTGTCATAGCAACCGTGCGGTAACTCGCGGGGCATGCAACTCGTGCGACTGCATGCGCGTGCGATCGCGATCGTCCCGGCCACATGCAGTCTCTGGCTCAATCTGTTTTTTTTGTTGTTTCTCAAGTCATGTTTTTTTTGCTTGAGGAAGTTGCTTCTCCTGGTCCTGCGCTCGCTTCAGGCTAGCCAGGTGACCATTGTTTACTGCCTTGGAAAGTTCTTTCTATATCAACAGCACAGCAATCGAACTGTCGGGAAGTTGCACGAGTAGTTCAAGTTTCATGATCCTTGACGGGATCAACGTGTTGTTCCCTCCCTTGAGGTCTATTTCTTGGATGCGTATTCAGTGAACATGGAAGAGTTCGCTTCCGAGTACAAGGCTTCTCTCGAAGACTTGACGTTCAACTCGAAGCCTGTGATAAATACGCTTACCATTTTGGCTGACGAAAACAAGAAATATGCCTCGGTGGTCGTGAAGCTGATTGAAGGGAGGATAAAGCAGGTATGTTTGTTTTATTCATTATTATTTTGTGTCAGTCAATTTTTTCTTCAGACTTTTCCCATTTGCACCCTTCCCTCAAACCAATTGGTTTTTTTGTAATACAGTGTCTATATGTGTTGTGTCTCTAACCAAGACACTGTAGGTTCACACTTTAGAGTTAACATCCAAGTTTATACTACGGTTGCAAAGCAATAACTGCCATACAAATTAACAATGGGGGTATCCACACAGAATAAAATGAATCACCAGTAGAAATAATTATAACCAACAAACGTGATTGTCCTGCCAATACATAAAAGCAGCCTCCCTGATCTGAAAGCTAGTTTGAATCTGGGAATTTCCCGCAACAAGAAAGGCTCGAAGCATGGCTGGTCTTTAGTCTATCTTTTGCAGTTTTGTCACACTCTTCGTATTCACATAGGGTGCCCTGTCTATAGGGCTTGAAAGTGATGACGTCAAAACGGCCAGGGAGTAGTAAGTTGACATCAGATTTCTACTTTTGGATCCACTAAGGTGTGACTTTGCTATTGCCTAAGTATGTGGGTGCATAGCAACCCACTCATGTCGCATGCAGGTGTGACTTTTATTTCGCCACCAGTTGTAACCCCGCCCCCAGTAGCCAAATCAGTCAGTTTCACTGGCTACATCACCATGCTGTGGGTAAGACCGCTTGAAATGTGCTTGGATCCATACAAAAACTGGATCCAAGTGGATCCAATTTTTGAATTTTTGAAATTGTTGCTATGCTGTGACGTAGCACTTTCAAGCCCTATTAAGCTGTAAGAAGGCCTGTGGGGATTGCCCTATTCAAAATTTACTAATAACAATATGTCTGCAAAGCAACTGTGCAGTACTTATATGTGTGACTGCTGTATTTGGACGAAGGGTACATTTGTACTGGCCATAGCATGTTCATGGTCCGTAGGTCCCACTCTTGTCTCATTATCGGCCATTGAAGCAGACTGCCTTGATGTAAAGTTGTTTAATATTGTCTCCATCTTAAATAGCAGAGTGAAATAGGTGCTGCAGTATCATGTTTACACCTTTGCTCTCTCTCTCTCTCTCTCTCTCTCTCTCTCTCTCTCTCTCTCTCTCTCTCTCTCTCTCTCTCTCTCTCTCTCTCTCTCTCTCTCTCTCTCTCTCTCTCTCTCTCTCTCTCTCTCTCTCTCTCTCTCTCTCTCTCTCTCTCTCTCTCTCTCTCTCTCTCTCTCTCTCTCTCTTGTCTCGCAAAGCCATGGTCCGCCTGGATCTGTGTTTTAAGGCCGATTCATACTTCATTTTGTGTACGGGAAACGCGTCGCGTCGTGAAAAAGTTGATCTGAGCTCAACTATTTCGCGTACGGGAAAGCCATCGCGCGACGGCTTTTCCGTACGCGAAATGAAGTATGAACCGGCCTTTATTGCCAGTTCTTCAACTTGAAGGAGATAGTTCTCCAGTGGGAGTGTGTCCCAGTGCACTATGTATAACCGTTGCTCTCGGCAACGGCTGTGATGGTGTGTCAGGGCCGGTGTCACTGGTGCGGCCGGTACGGCCATGGCCGTAGTTTCGATTCTGAGGGACAACCCCCAGCCCCCCCCCCCCCCCCCCCTCCTTCAACAGGGCACTCGGCCGCACCGCTCCATAGGAGCTGCCTCCGGCCCTGGGTGTTGAGGTGATTCGCAGCTGTCGTGTTATTTGCATGGTTAGTTGTGCACTGTAAAACCGACTGGTGCTGCTGTTGATTTGCTCTGTGTTGCCATCATATGTGTTGATTTGCTCTGTGTTGCCATCATATGTGCAGGTTCAGCAAAACATGAAGCTGCCATGCCTTTACTTGCTGGATTCGATTATCAAGAACCTAGGCGGAGAGTACCCCATCTTCTTTGAGGGAAACCTGGTGGAAACATTCGTCTCTGTTTTTCAGATGGTACGTACCGGAAGTGACTGTGTATAGTGCGTGCAGGTACATGCTGTATATGGTACGTCCAGGTGCATGCTGTGTTGTGGGAGCAGCTGGCATCAAGTTTGCTTTACACACTGTGCCGTTTTTTTTTATGGCGAAGAGCCCCGGCCTGGCCAAAGCTGGCGATGCAGCTGAGTCAGCAGTGTTGTTGTTCAGCACGACTGCTTTAGGGCAAGTTGTCTTTTCATTCAGTTGCAGCCTGATGATGGCAGTTTACCAAAGCGTCGTCGCGTCACTGATACGATACTGAGTTGTGAATTTGCGGTGCTGAAGGAAGAGCATGTCTGCCCAGAATTTCTCATTGAGTTTAACCCTTTCCATGCCAGCATGGTTTCCTGTGTTGGCCACGCATTGTTCAGGCGCTGAGCTCAACTGTTCAAAGCTGCACGCGCACCTCAGAACGAAATTTATTGCTATTTCACGATACCTTGATGGATTTTCACGATCCATGGCTTGTTGGAAAGATCTGGACAACAGGAAGCCATTTCAGGGACTCACAGCGCGACAGGCAAACCAGGGCCACTTCCATCTCCTCTCAAAGTCCCCCTACCATGCCTGAAAATAACAAAACGACTGCCTCTCATGTTTTCTTTCGTCTTCTTACTCATTGTGAACTGATTTTCACGATTCAAACTGCATTGGAAAGCTGAGATTCAAGCGCGTTTGTTGCAGCTGACTGCGCACGCGCCGTGTCTAGGGGAAATCCCCTAGCCCGCACGAAGTCGCGAACAAAAAATTTGAATCGATCGCCAAAAAATGAAATTTGCGCATTCTGGCCGTTCAATTTATCGCCGCTTGGTCATACCTTGTCGTATCTCGAAGAACTTTATATCCCTGGAAAGCTGAGCTCAAGACCTTTCCAGCGGTATCTCAACCTTAGCAGTCCGAGATATTTTGACGGAGTTACGACAGTTTGTACACTCGTCTATAGCGAGCGATACACATGTACTGTACAGTGTACATTGTACAGTGTAGGCAGAACGCGTAAACGCGTCCGTGGCCAATCGGCTCATACTAAAAAAACGCGTATACGCGTCCATGGCATGGAAAGGGTTAAATACAGGATGCCTCCCCCTATTACATACATTGTCTAATCATGCATGTTCAAATTGTCATTTTTGGCATTCTGTTCTTTCGAAGTTTCGGGCCTGCTCTGCATGAGTGAATACTTGATAGGGTGTGTAGCTATCCCTGTGTTTGCTGGATACAGCAGGCTAGCACCATGCCATACTCTCTCTATCTCTCTCTCTCTCTCTCCCTCTCTCTCTCTCTCTCTCTCTCTCTCTCTCTCTCTCTCTCTCTCTCTCTCTCTCTCTCCCTCTCTCCCTCTCTCTCTCTCTCTCTCTCTCTCTCTCTCTCTCTCTCTCTCTCTCTCTCTCTCTCTCTCTCTCTCTCTCTCTCTCTCTCTCTCTCTCTCTCTCTCTCTCTCTCTCTCTCTCTCTCTCTCTTGCTAGCTGTGTTTAGATTGGCTGTCTGTTGATTTGTGTGTGCTTCGTTCAGGCTGATGAGAAAGCTCGGAGAGACATGTACAAGCTCCGCCAGACCTGGAAGATGGTCTTTCCCGCGGAGATTCTTCGTGCTCTCGACGTGAAAACGAAATCGTTCGATCCCAACTGGCCGATTTTGAAGGCTTCTGCAAAGGCAGCAGGCGATGGAGCATCGTCTGGAAAGGCACCAGCGCCCGGCCCTGCCAAAACTGCTATCAGCGCTAGTGCAGCAGCAGCAACGAAAGTGTCAGCGGCGACCGTACCAGTCAATGTTCCATCCCCTGCCACGGTGGGTGCTACCACGGCGCAAGTCACCACCGTGTCTTCGTCGTCGGTGCCACTCGCCGAAGCTGCTACACCGCCATCTACGCCCTCTTCTAGCATCCACATCAATCCGCGTTTCCTTCCACCTGTGAGTTGTGTTACTAAGGCGCTCCGGCTCTCACATCTGATGCAAGCCAGTTTGCTGCAGATCTTTCCAAATAAAGCCAAGGAGCGAATGATTCTGGGTCCGCTGTTGTGGTCTGTTGGGCTGTTGGTGTATCCGTGATGTTACATGGTCATCTTTGGCCATGATAGCATCTTGCTAATACTGTATGTACAGAACACGCTGTAGAGGAGACGGTTAGAAATAGGATCGAGCTCGAAAACAGGACCGGGCTCAATATTCACTTTCTCTCTTTGTATTTTGATTAGAAAATGTAATAATTGTGTCAGTGAGACTGCAAGGTGTTTTACTGTAACGCTGAGCCAAATTTTCATGTCATGGCTCTGTGATGACCAGAAACGCCATACCAGGCAGGTGAGTTTTTGACGTGCTGCTTCCCACTGCAACTTGAGTTTGGCGTCTTTCGAAAATCAATGTTGGCTTGACCGATTTCCAGCGGACACAGCGTCCGACACGCAGTTATCTTGTCCTCAGCAACTAGTCAAAAGCTGGAAATACCGGGATGAACTGAAGGCACAAAGAAACATCAATCTTTACACGAAGATGGAGATCGCTGGCATCTCCATCACTAATTTACTGCTGTTTTTGCCACGCAGCTGCTTCTTCATGAAGCAGATACACAGCGGCTCGCCTCTCGCCAATAAAGCTCCATTATACCAATGAAAACTATTGGAAGCACACACAACGCTAATTGTTTCTCTGTACTGGCTGTCGTAGAGCGATAGGGATTACAGAATTTCAGAACTCCGGGTGAACTTGACGTGGACTCCAAAACTGGTCCTTTTTTCAGCCACCTCTGGGCCACCAAATTTGAAACGAAAAATCGGGCAACTTGGAGGCAACGGGCCAACGCAAAGGAGTGGCTCAGTTCGATCGACTCTGGCCTCAGAGCAAACTTCAACACGCCAGCTTCCTTCCACAAACATATTTCGAGTGAACAATCCACACTGATGATCGGTTTGGGTCTACACAGTTTTGCTGTCAAACCGGTGACTTTCAACCATCTTCTCTACCCCTCATTGCACGATGATGTACACGTGTGAAGGTAGCAATATGATTCATATGCATGTGTATATGTGTGTTCAGATCCGAGATGTACCTGGCACGACTGGCTCGGCTTCAGGCAGAAACCTTCAGATTCTGCAGATGAAGCGTGCCGAGCGCCAGCTGTTGGATGTAAGCCTGCAGTTTGTGTGTGTGTGTGTGTAGTGCAGTGTGTGTGTGTAGTGTGTGTAGCGTGTATAGTGCGTGTGTAGTGTGTGTAGTGTGTACAGTCAACTTCGCCAATAACGACATTCGGCGGGGCATCAGAAAAGTGTCCTTATTCGCGAAGTGTCCTTATAACCGAAGTCCCATTTGAATGTATGTGAACCCATATTTTGTATAGTATGACATGCATATCAAAATCAAGCTCTTTTCTTGCTCTATGTCAATGTGTACTTTATTTTCATATTGCAGTTGAAAGGAACTAAAAATTCAATATGCAAGGGAAATTAATTGAAAAAATTAATAATAATATTATGCCTTTTTGATACAGTAGATACAGGGCCAGAGACATGTACATGTACATGTATGATGATTACTGTACAATCATGTACCACTACATGTACATTGTATACATATAGGTGTGCTGGTAAATCCAACAATTTTGAAGCCAACATAAAAAAGGAAGAAAAAGCCCCCTCCCCCTTGGCTGCATTTTCTTGCATGTGTGCCTTTATAATAATTATTAATTATGAATAATATCCATCACCAAAGGTTCTGGTACTTCTGCATGACAGGTACATGTACTTGACTGACAGGTACTTGAAATAGCTGTCAAAAGCCCAGAAAGTCGTTATTCAAGCAGTGAATATGACCTCGGGGCACTAAAAGCATGTCGCTATACGCGAATTGTCGTTATTCAGATAGTCGTTATATCCGAAGTTAAATGTATACAGTTAGATGGGACTTTGCTCTGGGCATGGAAATTCGGTCGTTATTCGCGAATTGTCGTTATATCCGCAGTCGTTATTAGCGAAGTTGACTGTAGTGCGTGTGTGTGTGTGTTCTGTGTGTGTGTCTGCATGTGTGTGCTCCAAAGTACAAGTACAAGTATGTTTTTGTGTATGTGTGTGTATGTACCGGTCCAACTGTACATGTAGGCCAGTGCTGTGTCTTGAGCCCATAGCTGTGGACTCTAGTCCTGAAGATGTCCTAGTGAGGAAGACATTAGAGACCATTAGCAAACCGTCGGGCATTACGATTGGGACAAATTGGGAACGAGGCCGGCGCGCGGGGAAACTGAATCGTTTCGTGAGCACAATTGGAGCAGCCCCGACGGGTGCGGTTCCTCGTTTCGACGACGGCGTAGAGAAAATGTACGTACCGTAGCCAGCTAGCTCCGCGACAACTATCATCTTTCGACTTTCATAAAGGAGTTTTAAGTTTAAATAATTATTAGAGACCCAACACGCAAAGAGTCGATTGATCCAGGTAAGGCCTTGCATCATTCTGTAGTCCGTGATCACGAAACGATTACGATTCCGGTTGCATCGCGCATCGCACATCGCCCGCAACATGTGCCTGAATGGTTCAACGCACGGCTTCGTGCCGGGCATGCTTTGACGATTGGAAATCGGAGCTGTCCAATCGTTCGACCGTACACGTGACGGTTTGCTAATGGTTTCTATTGTGTGACCCAGTGCTCCTGCCATGAGCCATGCTGCATCTCTGCTGTTCTCGTACTGATCGTGATCTATCACACGAAACTTGGATTCCGGGCTCGGAAAAGAAAGACAACATGAGCTGCAGCAGGGGAAGGGTGCACGACGTGAATCGTGGCTGTGGTGGTGAGGTTTAGATAGCTCCGTGTAAATCGAAATTCGGCAAATATATCGGTTTCAACCTTCAGCTTGTGCATTCCGAAAAAATTAACGAAACCATGAACGGACATGATTCAACTGGTATCTTGAACGCCCCCCGGTAGTACACTGAATTCCATGACCGGGTTGACGATCATTGAGCGCATACGTTGGTTACTAGCCGAGCATGGGTGTGGGTGTCTATTCTGACCTCATTTCTAGCTGCCCAATAGTGCAGAGTGCTCAGTTGGACTCCACAACGTGTGCCTTGCCACCTGGCAGTTGTTCATGTCATGGAGACCCTGCTTGATCTGTCACGATGCACTTCACCTCTGGATTCTGTGACCTCTACCTAGCTTGTCGCCTTTGAATCTTCTCCTGGATGTGTATCACCATGGCGTGTTCAGATGATATACAGCCAGGGTACACCACCATGTTTGTGTGTGTGCCCGCCCGCTCGTGAATTGGTACCGTTTAAAAGGTGGGCAGAAAAGTCCGTTCTGGACTGAGACCCTCATCGTTTATCGCTGGACTTGTTAGTATAATACTAATTAATAGACCCATTGCACATTGCCAAATATGGAATGTATGAGTAATGCTTGTGAGTATGCTGGGATCAGGAGTGCACTGTTCAACACCCCAGGCGACCATGCCCAGGTGGCTGTGAGGGGTGTTTATGGTACAAATTACGTCATTGCGCAATGGGTCCATTACTGTAACCTTGGAAACCCCACTGCTGCCAGCACAGTAAGCTTGTTGATTGTCATGTACTCTACAAGTAGTTGATAAATATGGTGGTAAAAACACACCTGGCAATATGGCGGTAAAGACACGCCTGCCCACACACGCTCTCTAGGCTGCAAAGTTAGTTCTGGCACAGAGCTCTCCTTCTCACTGCCACCATCAGTTCGCGCCTGGCGCCTGGTCGATGCATGGTTGGCGGTATCCGGCATAGCAGGCTGGTACATCAAGTAGCGCATGGCACATAGAAGATGACACGGCAACGACATAGCTCGATTGCAACGTACGTTTCGTCCCCGCTGGACTCATCAGGCAATCTTCTTCTTGCCTGCTATGCCGGATACCGCCAACCATGCATCGACCAGGCGCCAGGCGCGAACTGATGGTGGTGGTGAGAAGGAGAGCTCTGTGCCAGAACTAACTTTCCAGCCTAGAGAGCGTGTGTGGGCAGGCGTGTGTTTACCGCCATATTAGAGAGGTTCCGCACTACGTAAAGTTGAGCAACTTTACGTTAGTGGGCGGGAAAAACCCGTGAATTCGCGAGTTTGCACTCCACTTACGGAAAGTTGTCTACGGAGAGTACGTAGATAGGGCTCTGATAACGTAGCTGGTCCGTAAGTGGATTGGGGTACAAATTTATGTCTCTCTCCCCAGCAGCAGGCCAGGTCGATCTGGTCGTACACTGCCGCGTTCGGAGTTGCCAAGGGCGGCTACGTGATTTGAAAACTCCGTATGGCGGAACCCAGATCCGCATGCAGTTTACGTAAGACTTTCCGTAGATCGACTACGTTTTTTACTAACGTAATTACGTTATGCGGAACCTCTCTATTGCCAGGTGTGTCACCACCATATTTATCAACCATAAGTACAGCTGCAGTGGTGTCTTCAACTTCATTCACTCTACAAGTACATATGTTTTTGGCTTTTTTTTAACTCGTTGTTTCAGTTCCTCGTGAGTGATTAGCAGTGGGGAAATGCTTGATGCTGATGTTTATTCTTTGGACATGTGTGTATGTGTGCCTCAGGGCTCTGGTGCAGCTGCTGCGAATCCTGGTGACCCTCGCCTGGGTCGACAGCAGGATCATAGCCAGCTTAGTCGAGAGCAACAAGCGCCCGCAATGGGTAGCCAGCTAGTGCAGGACCCCAGACCAGGAGTACAACATTCTGGCATGCCTTCCCATTCCTCGGCTGGACACCCTTCACAGCAGCAGCCGCAAGGAACTCACGTTCTATCTGGGTCTGAGGTGGTACCAGTAGAAGCCGCCCTCATGCTGGGACAGACGGGCAGTACCATGACATCGCACATGCAACCGGCGAATAGCGGTCCTCCCGGAGGTGACCCGTCGCATTCGTCCATGCCGCCGGTGAGCTCTGTGTGTGTGTCTCTCTCTCTCTCTCTCTCTCTCTCTCTCTCTCTCTCTCTCTCTCTCTCTCTCTCTCTCTCTCTCTCTCTCTCTCTCTCTCGCATTGTGCAGTGCAGTAGTGTTTTGGCAATGGTTTTGTAGGCTCTGTTTCTCTACTTTTGTGGTGTGGTGTGTGTGTGTGCATACATGTATGCATAGTATTTGTTGACAATTGTGCTAAACATGGCGGGTCCTTCCTTTCCTGTTTCTATCTCAGGCGGTCAGTGATCATCTGATGGGCAACTTTGGTGGTAACGTCCATAATGCCTCGCAGCCACCTTATGTTAATAACAACAACGGCGGCAGTAATGCGTTTGCTGGTGCTTCTTCGGCCGCTAATGGTCATATGGGCATGCCACCGCCCATGCACCTCGATGACCATCACGCACAGCATCAGATGAGCATGCAGCAAGGTGAGAACATGCATCCGCAGCACCAGGGCCCACCGCCAATGCAGCAGCCACCACCACACCAATCACATCACCAGCAGCAGCAACAACAACCACCGCCACATCATCATCAGCATGGGCAGGCGCATCCCGACCAGTACCCGGGTATCAATGCCCAGCATCCGCCACAGCAGCAGCAGCAACAGGTACCGCCGCCTATGCAACAACAGCCGCATCAGCAGAGTGACTATCGTGGGCACAACGAACCTCCGCCACCCGCGCATCACCAACCTCAACAAATGCAGCAGCAGCAGCAGCAACAACACTCCGATCACAGAATACCACCTGACAATCATATGAACCATCCGGATTTTCGGCCACTGCCGCCGCATGATGATCAGCGTGGTGGTCCTCCAGCCTTTCCTAATCACCCTGGATTCGACCATGGCTTTGGAAACTTTGAGCGGCCACCGCCACCAAACAATCGCGGTCGTTTCCCAGGCAAGAAAAACAAGTGGAGTAGGAATAAGAAGAAGAACCGGGAGCGCTTTACGCCGTATGAGCGGGACCAAGATGGTTATGGTGGAGCGCAGTCAGGTCATGGCCGTAATGAAGTATTCGCCAATCAGCACCAAGGTATGTGTCCCACTGACCAGTGATTGGCTCTCATGGGTGTTGCTCTTGCATGTCCCACTGGCCAATGATTTGCACTCATGTGTGTTGCTCTGGCACTGTGTCAATCAGTGGATGTGATTATTTTGTTTTATTCTTATTTTACTAGGGAGTTCCCAACAGGCGTCATCGTCTTTTTACAGGGAACCCTGAGTGATGCAGTTCCTTCTGTAATTGACCAGTTGTCCGGTCAAGCATTCTGTGGGCATTACACTATTTTCTTGAACTTGATTTTGATTTTTTTAGCATTTCATGTCGTATGTAATTAAATTATGTATGCAGTGGTCACATTATGACGCTCACGATCCGTAACAAACTCCGAAGTGTTTAGAGTTTTCAATGTGGCTTGAGCTGCATCAAATCTATTTCTTTGCGCTGGGTTTTTCTGCCGTTGCATTCGTTTGCAGATCGTGATCATGGTGGGTCTCAGCCCAGTCGTAACCCAGAGCCGGCACCTCTCGATATTCATAAATTGCTGAATGCTCTGGCAAAGAAGCCGGCTGGCAAGGAGAATGATGCTAATCTACCTAAACAAGTGCAGCCTAATGTCATGCAGCTGCCGATCATCAAGCTTGAAGACTCTGAGCAATTAAAGAGGTATGTGCAGCTACTGCTGCCACTGCGCGCTGTAGCATCCGCTGCTGTCGCTTATGCAATTTCCTTTTGGTTTTCTCTCTCTCTCTCTCTCCCTCTCCATGCACGGTACCGGTATGTAAGGAGTTCAAAATTATAATAATACTGGAGGTTTTTTCTTACCCTTTTCAGTCCCTCAGACTGATGAATGCTGGAAGTATTTCTGATCCTACCACAGCATCTTGAACATATATGTTAAAAGGAAATGGCTCTAGGACATTAACCTGGTATTGGCCTACGGTGTTGGGGAGCTTGTTTGACTCTGTGTCTTTGTGTGTGTGTGTGTGTGTGTGTGTGTGTGTGTGTGTGTGTGACTCTGTGTGTGACTCTGTGTGTGACTCTGTGTGTGACTCTGTGTGTGACTCTGTGTGTGACTCTGTGTGTGACTCTGTGTGTGACTCTGTGTGTGACTCTGTGTGACTCTGTGTGTGTGACTCTGTGTGTGCATGTATGTTGTGTGCCGTGTTTGTCTTGCTGCTGTCTTGCTGCTCCTATCCAGGGTTTACCCAGCGGCACTGGACCTGCTGTACACAGGTAGACAGTGCTCTAACTGTGGCCAGCGCTTCACGCAGGAAAGAGCCGACGAGTACCAGAGGCATCTGGACTGGCATTTCCATCGTAACAAGCAGTTCAAGGAGAACAAGGCGTCGTCAAGACCCTGGCTTGTACCCCTTGATGTAAGCAACTCAAAGTCATCGTACAGCAATACCGCGCAGCTAAGAACATGTCAATACTTGAAACAGAAGTGTACTAGAATTAACCTTGGTTAAGACAAGAGGCATCTTTTACATACATTTGGACTTGGTTATGGCGAGCTCTCGGATAAGATGATTCGAAAATGAGTCCTGAGCGGCCAAAACTTGACTAAGAATTCCATCTGACACGTAATTTCTGGGAGTGCGTTCTGACGTTGGACACAGCATCTAGGAACAAAATGTCCAGCTTCACCTTGCCTTGCGGATAGGGTCCACTTCGGTGGGTCTCTGCTTTCATGCTTGGTCTCTACTTGGATGGGAGTCCAGTCTGCTTAGCGTGATAGCTAGTACAGCTACAGCCATGTTTTACAGTATTTCTTTCTGCACCACGATCAATAGAGAGGTTCTGCACAACGAAAATTCGAACGAAGTTTCGCGACAGGCCTTGCGAAAATGTGTACGAATTTTCGCACGAACTTTGTGTTCTGCACATTTTCGTAGTTTGCACGCGCCAAGTGCACGTACGACATGACCCAATCTCACGAAACTTCCTACGAAAGTTCATTTCGCGTTCCCTGCAAGTTTCGCGTCCAAAGTTGCGAAAGTTCGTGCGAAGTTTCTCACTTCGTGACGTAGAGCGAAAGTTTGTACACATTTTCGTTTTGCAGAACCTCTCTAATGTTGAACTGCACTATTCTTTTCTCGGCAATGAGAATGTAATCAGCTTGCTCAATCTCCGGACAGCTAGCTGTTTCGACCTTGTACTGTAGCGGACATGGAAATCCAGTCGATTGACCGGGGCCGGCGCCCTCAGCGTGTACTGACCGCTGCGTGCAGTGCACATGTTGATCCGAGGCGACCAGCGCGGTGCAGCGTATATATGAATGTGTGTACCGCTTATCCACGGCCGCATGGCCAGCGCCCTGGGGCCGCTAGACGGGCGACCGTATTTCCATGTTCACTACTGTAGGTCTCCTCAGCAGAGCATAGAGTGACTAGAGTCACTGGCCAATCAAGTCCAGTGTACAACAACAATGCATTTTTAGCCGGCTCGTACACTTGTTGGAAATTCACTCGCGAAAACACAGCATATTGCAGGTTTGATGAACACGGCCTAGCTGAGCTTTCTCTCACAATAGACTGCATGTGCTATCTCTGTGTCCTATCTCTGCAGGACTGGGTTACGTTTGTGGAAGGTGACACTCTGGAGCCTAAAGGTAATGTTCTTGTTAGTGTCAATTACCACTTTCAGTTTTCAGTATGATCATTTCACTAATAATTGTGATGCACACTTACTGTACATCCTTGCCTTCTATTCTGATGGTAGAGCATACCTGCATATTCTTGTAGCCATTGCTTATTTCTAACCAAGTCGGGTTTTTCGTCTCTTGTTATATTGGGCGTTTTGATGGCTCACAGGTCGTAGTGCTGTGTTTGATGCGGAGTCTTCCGATGAAGAAGTCGATGCGGATGAAGTCACCAGTGTGCCAGTTGAGAACGACAGTGATGCGGTATGTTGTCAAAATATCATTGTGTTATACTCAACTGTTTTCTTATATCACCGTCGATGTCGCAATATCTCAGTTTGTGTTTTTTCCACTTCAGTGAAACTCTCTTTCGAACTCCTACACTCCATTGCAGTGAAAGCTTTTCTTGGAACTCGTTCTGGTATTGTCTGGGCAATCAGCAATGTCAGTGCTGCGATACTTGTTCGCCGTGCCAGCTGTTGACATGCAGATTTGTATTACAGTAGTTCCACATGTGTGCTTTCTTGGTTGCGGCAGTTCTGATTGAAATCGCTGATCAAGCTGAATTTGACTTGGGTCTGAATTTGTATGAAAATGGTTTGAATGAACCTAGTGGGATTATGGAGGGATAAGTGTGCTGCTGTTGTTGTTTCTGCTTTCGTTACAGGTATGTCACGTGTGCCGTGAGCCGCTGAAACCACTCGAGTTTTGGCACGATGACGAGGGAGAGTGGCACTATCGTGATACTGTACGGACGAGTGCCGGCAAGGTGAGGCTCAACAAGGTCATGTTCTTTTTAGACTACACTCTGCCACCGTTTGACTCTATGGCGGGCAGGTGCCGGAATGTTACATTGTAGTTGAGTGTGTACATATTTAATACAAAGAAATATTTTTTCAATCATTTATTGGTTTGAGGGAAACGGGGAAAGTCTGAAGAAAAAATTGACTGTCACCGCCAGGGCTTGAACCAGGAACCTTCCCTTGAGGCCAGTGATGCTCCAACCACTGAGCTATGTAATGGTGTATCTGTCATCCCAGCAGAGACCGTTCAACATCCACCTCAGACTTCAAAATTCAATTGGATTTAATCTTAATTTAGATTCCTTCCGTAATCCGCATACATACTGTACTGAATACATAATGGATAAGATGTACTGTTCTCATGAGAATTTTGGCAGCATTCATGTCCGCACTGGATGCGGTGTACGTGTGTTTTGAAATGAATTCTGCCCAGCTGTGTGCAACAGACTGTAGCCTGAATACTAAGTATTCATTTCTCTGCTACCCAAGTTGTGATGGTGTGGAATCATGGGTGCAGTTTGCTATGCTGTGTTCTAACAAATTTTAATATCCTCTGTTCTGTTAAATGTCTGTAGCTGTATCATCAAGGTTGCTATGAAGATGCTGTGCCGGACACTCCAACACCGGATGTGGAGAGAAAGGTAGGTAACACAAACACACGCGCAGACTCTCTCTCTCTCTCTCTCTCTCTCTCTCTCTCTCTCTCTCTCTCTCTCTCTCTCTCTCTCTCTCTCTCCTTCTTGCTCTTGATAGTTTAAACCAGTGGAGACCAGTGGAGTAGGAGTATAAACACGTCCTTGTAACAGTTACTTGTATATTCTGTTTCTGTTACTTACCAGATGGATACGGCCGACCCGTTGTATGGGGCAGTGCTGTCAGCTGAAGACCTTCAGGACACCGCTATGGCCCCAGCGGAAGCCTCAGCCGACCTCGGACTCGCGAACATCAAGACTGAGGAATGCAGTTGACGACATTCTGTACACACTACGTCTGCTACTTGCATCTGTGATGCGTAGATTGTTATATTGTCCTGGTTTTCTGTGTCTTGTTTGTTTGTTTTCCTTGATCTGGTATTGTGCGCTGGTCGCAGGCTATCGGAGAATGTTGATACCATTTTTTTTAACCCCTTGAACCGAACAGTGTTTTATCCTCCTTTATTCTTCTCCCGTCTCTCGTCTTTTCCTGTGATATATTCGTGTGTGCGTGTGTGTGTGTGTGTGTGTGTGGATGCAGACGATCTGTGTGTAAGGAGTTTCATGCCTGTGTTGATCACACGCATGCCACTGACCAAGCCTGTAGCTGGTCGTACTCGGTATCAACTCCCTGACGAAAACCCTGTTGGCTTTGCGTCTTCAGCTCAGTGGAGTCTGTTTTGGTGCGACGTTCCTTTTTAGCACCTGGTTTGTGTTCTTCAGCCACCTGGCTGTGGGGTCTACTGCAGGCAAGGACTAGAAAAATGGGATGTGTTGGGAGGATGGGCAGCGGATCAAGACACCGGCTTGAAGTTTTGGCGTTGGGTGCGGCGTGCTTGCGGTTGTGAGTGTTGGATGCGACTGGAGCTTCGCTGCCCCATGTTGTTGATCCTGAGGGCCGGTTGTTGCTTTGTTGGCTGCGTGTGTTTGGCGAGTCACTGGCTCTTGGTCAGTGTGTGTGTGTGTGTGTGCATGTGTGTGCGTGTGTGTGCATGTGTGGTGTGTGTGCATGTGTGGTGTGTGTATATGTGCTTCAAGCACTGTAGGCTTGGGTGATGTGAAGCGAGTATGTACTCTTGCTTCATGGTACAGATCTGGAAGTTCATGGATGTGTTGTTTGTTCCATTCGATATTGGCTTGCTGTGTGGACGTGCACTGTGGGTGGGGGTAATGTTTGTTGTATTAAATAGCACGCTTTGTTACGACATACTGTGCTGTGTTATCTCTTTACGGTTGATTCAATTCCTATTCTCTGGCATTTGTCTGTGCATGCATTTGTGCAAATCCGTGCACGTGCCAATAAAAACAAGTCCCGTTTTGTACCCATTTTTATAAACGTAATCCATGTCAACTAAATTGCTATTCTTGGCCATACTTGCTTTCATGTACCGGTCTGGTCTGATGATGTGATACATGCTTCAAAGTACATGTACCTGTCCGAGTTAAATTTCATCTTGTTGCCTGTGCGTTTGTTCTGTTGCTGAATTGTTGCCAGAATAAATGCTCTTTCCAAGGGATACTGTCCACTTTGGTCCTGTGTGTGTGTGTGTGTGTGTGTGTGTGTGTGTGTGCCAGCTAGTTCGGTTGGTGGGTACACTTATGCCAGATAGTGTTGGGTCTGTTGCCAACGGGCTCGGCTGCTTGAAGGTGTAATGTTGTACCTGCCACCTTTGTTGGTTTCAGGGTTCATAATTATACTTTCTATTTGAAGTATACATACCTGTTAGCCATGGACTTCTTCTGGCTAGATTCATATCACATCCACTCTGGTCCAGCCACCCACACTACTTGTAGTAGCAAGTATTACCTTCACTGGGGGCAGGGGTAACTGCAGTTGGATCCCGGGACGGATACCGTCAATCCTTTTTCTGCACCTTGTCCTCACCCACTTACTGTGGTGTGAGCCCATACGTGGGATTATTTTCAAGTCCACCCAAAGTTTGGGGATTTCAGGGGGTGTCGGCCGTTGGGCGGATCAATAGCCAATTGAGTCATCTTTCCAAGATTCCTTCCGGGTCTCTCTCCCCCTTAGGCCCTCCCGGGGAGACCCACGTGACCAGTTTTGGCAGTGCCTGAGCAAGTGCAAGTGTGTGTGTGTGTGTTTGTATGTGTGTGCGCGTGTACGTGCACACATGTCTGACTCTGTGGTATTCTAGCATTATACAGTATTCTGTGTTTTCTTCTATAAATAAATTACAAAGTTGTAGTGTGCATATGTCTGGCAAGAGAACTACAAATGATTTAATGATAGCTTGCATAGACCTCGGTCCTACCGGTAGGACCCGTGGTCCTACCAGTAGGACGGCATGCAAGCTATCATTAAAAATAGTTTCATGGCTCAGAACTAGAAGTCAAATGGCATAGCCGGCCTTCAACAGTGCAGTAGACAGCCTTTCCCCTAAACACTACGACATCGGTGTTTATTCTATACATAATATCAAGAGTACATAACCAAGAGTACATAGATCTACGTTCATAACCATGTACTCTTGATAATAATATAATATTATTGCAGGCACCTACACGTTTAGCTCTTCTGTTACAGTCTCGAGTCAGCATTTCTTTCCCGATATGTAAGCACACTTGTTCTGGAGGGAGTCATGGCCCTAGCCATCTGGATTCTGGTTCTGTTCTGGACTGGAGCCGCCAAGATCTGAGATGAACATACTAGCACATAAAATATAAAAATATGGACAGATCATACGTCCTTTTTTGGCCTACAATTATAAAATTAATAATAGTTTTTCAATTTTTTTGTTTTGTTTTTGGCGTTTGAACAGTGAAAAAATGCGCCACGTGAATGTGTAGATGAAAATACAAACGAAATTGCAAAGAACGAGCACAGTTGTACAGCAAAGTCAGACACTCCTCAGAGTCAAAGACATGTAATGAGTGCAATCTCTACCTTCACCAATCTTTACGAGCCGTTTCTCTAGCAGGTTTAGTTATATCGTGAAGCCCCAGCAGTACTATGAGCATGAATTTCATAGTTGAGAACCTTGGCGCGGAGGGTGCTCGTTTAGGAAGATGGATTTGCTCGAATGGTGTTTCAGCTCTCCACACACCAGGATGTATGCTGTATACTGGCTCGGGGAGTGTGCCCAATCTAGGCACTGAGCTGTTGGCAGCTTTCCCCAGCCTTCCAGCTGTTTGTCAAATTTCTGTTGCATCTACGTAAGCTAGCACTGTGCGCATGTGTGTGTGTGTGGGTGTGTGCACGTATAATGTGTGTGTGTGTTTGTGTGTGTGTGTGTGTGTGTGTGTGTGTGTGCGTGGCGTTTTTTCTTGATGTGTGTGGTGTACGTGCTCGTATATGTGTGTGCATGTGCGTTTGTGTGTGTATGCGTGTGTGCGGTGCAGATTTGCGTCCTTCTCTTGCGGCGGGCGTAAATGGTGCATGATGTGTGTGTGTGTGTGTGTGTGTGTGTGTCAGCCTTGCAAGCTGTTGAATGGTGTAATCCCAGCACAAGTTGCTATGTCTAACAAGTAACATAGCTATTCGCTATCATCGCTTCCGCGATGGGCGTGTCTGAGGTCTGAGGTGTGTGTGTGTGTGTGTGTGTGTGTGTGTGCATGTGTTTCCGTGTGTGTGCGCACGCACGTGTGTATGTGTGTCACGCACGACATATGTGTGGGTGGGTGTGTATGTGAAGTTGCTGCATGCATGTGTGTGTGTGTGTTTTTGCGCACATGCTCATGTGCATGCATGCTAGTGTGTGTGTGTGGGGGGGGGGGTAAGGCATGATCAAGGCATAGTAGATCACAGTTCTACAAATGCTGAAATTCGAATGTGTATCTGTAATTGGAGGTGCTGTTGTTCGGTAGGTTTGGGGAAATTCTCAGTTGCTGACTAAATCTCGGCTAAGACGAACCACCGTGGAACAGGAGAAAGAGTTTGTCTCATCTGATAATCAAGAGCAGGCCACATGCCTATTTGTGTTGTTTAGCTCTATTTTACTTCACCATTGGCACAGGCTAAGTCTTCCTTCTCACCGGGCATATTGCCACAGTTCTCTCAAAATGACGAAGGCACTGATATGAGAAAAAGGAAGAGGAAAATGAATTGATGAACAATGTATTGAGGAAATGCAAGGCATAATAGCAGATGTCATGATTTGTTCATACTTCAATGTACAGTACCGGTAATATCGTAAAGGCACTATACATGAACACACGCTTGATCTACCCAACAAGCACTCCGGACCTGTTTTGCCGCTCTGCATGACTTTCACAGGTATGGTCGACCAAGCACAGCCACGCTGCAAGCTCTCAAGAAGTCGCTTCTAGAATTCTACAAGCTTAGCAAGGTATGGCCAGGTGCTGACCAGTGCCTAACCCACTTCAAGATATTGCTCCTGTTGTGGACAGTGAAATCCGCTGAGAAATCAAGCGGCCACTGGGCGCTGGCCTTGCACCCGTGAGCACTGCTGGTCCATTTTCACAGTGTGTACGTGCACTACAGTGTGTGTGTATGTGCTAAGGCAGTGAGGGGCTCCAGTTACTGTAATTTCACTAATTTTCGGTGTACTTTTATTTTCGGTACTTTCGGTGCATCTGCTTAATACCTAAAATTTCAACACACCGAACAAACACTAACACACGTAAGCCAATAGGGAACTGCTTCTCTGTACCGAAAATTTCTGTTCACCTAACCTGGCCTTTTGCCCTCATACCGAAAATATTGAGCACCGAAAATTTCTGAAATTAGAGTATTCCGCCGGATTTCAATGTCCACAACCGTACATGTAGTTAGTTGATCAGGATATGCTTATTTTTCCACGACGCTGAACAGCCCCATCACTGTCCAGCATTGTAGGGTTGGGTTCACGTCTGGAATGCCAGCAACCCTAGCCAGTGAGCTACATCTGGAAGTCTTCTTTGCCAAGTGCTTATAGCCTAGGGGGCCATGCATGTGTATTGGGGGGGGGGGGTGAACAATGCATGGCTATTGACTGGAGTGCTAGTATTCTCCACAGTCTTGCAGAGTCGTTTATCTGAGTATGACTTCTACAAGATCTCAGCCACTTTTCAGTTGCTGCTGTTGTTATTTCTAATCTTGGTGTCGTTGGCTATGCTGCAGACCTCATCATCATCGTATGTATCAGTACAGGAGGCCACACAATGTGTAGATCATTCCTTCAATGAGAATAAGACCGTCTCGATATGGACGGAGTGCGAGAGGATAAAGGTAAGGTATCGGGAGCGACCGCTGGCTCATCTCGATTCTCTGGTTGCTGCTATGCCTGTTCTGTATTTTCATTTTTCAGCATCTGTTGCATTGCTATGCAGGGTTTGGATTGAACCCATGTCCTCGTGTAACAGTGATAATATTACCGGTATGTCACAGAAGAATGAAAATAAGCAGGCAGTCTTCGATATGTGGTACATGGTACATTGTGTATGTGAGTATATCTCCTTTGCTGCCTTACCGGTGTGATCCTCATTTCTTGCACACATGCTACATGCTACGTGCACTTCAGAGAGTAGCTTATGAAAGCCGCTTCGTTTGGGAAATCTAGACATGTAAAAGTGGCCGAGCCGCATGAATCACTGCATACTAACTAGTGCATAGATCTATGATATGTATTTTCCAATGTGCCTACTATGTGGACTTGGCGTTCCTGTATTTGCAGCTGTCGCCTGATGCTTATATGAGCTTTCAGCAGGCAGCACGGCCGGATGCGTTTGAGTCTCTGTGCGATACGGTGGCGTCTTCGTCCACAGCCGCCAGCAAGCGGTGCAGCAGGTCGGTTGACCGGACGCTGCAGCACCTTGACCGGTGCCTGGAGTTACGAGCAACAATGCCGGTGAGTTGTAAGTTGTCAAATACTAGTGTTCTCAGTCAGGTGACTCTGCTCACAAGACACACTTAACCAGTACTGTTTGGTCACGTGTGCACTCATCAGCGCAATACAGGGAAATGAGATGGAATGAGATTGTATTATTGTACTTCAAAGTAGTAAGCTGTAAATGGATAATTTTAGTGGTGATTATTTTTTTATTTTGAGTGTGCTTTCACTCGCTGCACGGCAATGGACTCGAAACTCTGATTACTACGCGCATCATTGCCGATTTGGGCCAGAGTGAACGCAAGGTAAACCTGCGCTTCCATTGGACAGTCTTTCGTAATACCCTTTTTGTCATGTGTTCTGTAGGAACTGCAACACTCTGCGGTGTTTGGTGTCGTCGAGGGCGGTTCGTTTGTCGAGCACCGCGTGCGATCGGCGAAGGAGACAGCAAAGCGACCCGTGGCTGGTATGTGACATATGCATGAAGTCCGAAACTGTCGTCACTCGTCAGTCATGCTTTTTCTCTGATTATAACCAGGGAGTAGTAAAATATTTATGTAACGTTATCGTATATTACTACTCTCTGATTTTTTACCTATCTGCATGCTTGTTGAAGTGATGTGTGCACTGCACACTGGTGGAACATAGGCCTATACAGTTAACTTTGCATGTACCGACACTCGGCGGGGCATCAGAAAAGTGTCCTTATTCGCGAAGTGTCGTTGTACCCGAAGTCTCATTATGTATTCAGTTCGATGAGACTTTGCTCTGGGCATGGAAATTTTGTCGTTATTCGCGAATTGTCGTTATATCCACAGTCGTTATTAGCGAAGTTGACTGTACTATCACATGTGTTTATTCTAATGGTTTTATCCACTTAGTCTTTGGCGTACAACGATAGCATGTGCATCTCCGGTAACACCCAGGTGTGCTCTTTGTGTTTGTGGAAATTTGTTGTGACCCTGTTGCCAGGATTTGCATTTGAAGGCCTGGAGGTGAAGCCCGACACACTGGAGAGTGTGATGACAACTGTCCAAGCTGCCGTGGTGAGTGCCATCTGTGCACGTGCCGTGCGTGTTCTGTAGTGGAGTTGAGATGATGCTTTAAAAGACTTGAAGTCTGTCAGTGCGGTTGTTGCCGCAATGGTAACTTTCCTGTCAAGCAGTTGTAGTTTGTGTTGCGTTCTCCATGTTTGCAGGCCGAGCTTCCTGCTGACAAGCCGCGCATATTCCACGGCCCAGCATCACCAGGTGAGGTGTGTGTTCAGGCGTGCGTCGATTTTCCAGACAGGCCACTCTCCCAATATGTTGTAACGTTAATTTTAATAGTTCTGTGAAGCAGGGCATTTTAACAGGGCTTTCACGCTTCTCAAACCAGGCCGATTTTTGCGATGGCGAGTTTTAGCAACCAAACTCTCACCAAGTCAGAAAGCAGTACGGTGCGCGCCGAACTGACGGGTATACTTTCTCAAGTGGTTAGGCTACAGTTTAGTGAGAACACGCCCTGCACTAGCTAATTACCTGCTGTTATCGTACCGCAATGTGGCTTTTTTGAAATAGTATTCTCATTGCGGTCGGGTAGCAACAGGTAGGTATTTATTATATTATGTACTGTACAGTGTGCTGTGGACAGGCAGGGATGCTTCAGGGTTTGGTATCTGAGGCAGAACTAGAGAAGGAGAGATTGCAAAATGCTGTAAGATTTATAGTTTGTGAATAGAGTAAGTACTTGGAAGTACTATCCTTGGGATGCTGACCTGCAAGAAGAAACCATTTCCGAATGGACTGGTTTGTGTTGTGTGTGTCTGTGTCTGTGCATGCGTCTGTGTGTGTGTGTGTGTGTGTGTGTATGCGTGCGCATGTGTGTGTGTGTGTGTGTGTGTGTGTGTGTGTTGCTTGTTTTGCAGAGGACATAGTACGTCTTGTGGAATGTGGCATTGACATTTTCGATTCATCGTATCCTCTCCGAGTAAACTGTTTTGTTAATATACTTTCCAAAGATCGAATGCATGGGGAGTTGTCACTGAGTGTTGGGGTTTTATGGGAAACATATCGCCAACATCAATAAAGTGTGTATCACCAACAGTTTAAAATATGCAGGTTCTGGTCGACACAGCACTTCCTCAGCATGGCAAAGTTCCTAATCTTCGTCTGTTTCATAGAAGTATGTATTGGCTTTTCACCATCATTAGGTTCATCCATGAAAATGTCACTTTGGAGGAAGCTGTGGCTCTATGAAAACCTCCTATCCCGGACAATCAATTCACTTGTACATTGCCTTGTGCCACTTGAACTGGTCATGCGATGCATTGCAGCTGGACAGTGCTGTGGACCAGGAAACGTCACTATATTAGTAGAGAAGTCATGTCTCGATGACTTAAAGTTCTGTAGCGTATCCATATCTGGGGGTCCTGGTTCTTCCTGTCCGAGTTCATTTCGCAGTTGTTACTCGTACAGGTATGTCTATTTCTTGACTAGGACAACTGCTTTTAGATATCCATACCTACTTGCTGAGAATGGCATTGCACTCAACCTGGATCTTGCGTTGGAGAGTTGTGACTCCGATGTTGATGAAGGTTGCATGGCAGCCTGTCCATGCCCTGCAGCACCCAGTGCAGCTGCAGCAGCATCAAACAGTGGTGCAGACAGCAGCTCGGCAGCGACGGCAAGTGACAGCACCTCAGCTGGCGCAGCGGTGCAATCACCGAGCTCCGTAGCAGAGACTTCCGCCACCTCGGACAGCACCGTGGCAGAGTCGCGGCTCGCGGAAGCAACGACTGCAACGCCCCATGCCCCATCATCTGTACCTGGTGAAACTACTGCGACCGGCGAAGAGCGTCCGAACATAGCTGGCGCGGTTGCACACCCCGATTTCTCCAAGCGTCGAACACCAAGTGTGGCTCTGGGACGTGATGTGCATTCGTTTGAGCTGGATCTTACTCTTGATAGGTATGGTTGTGTTGAATACATGTAGTATTGAGTGCAAGTGGAATAACACTTATCTGATCCGCTTTTAATCCAGTTCAGTCGCCAACAGGTGCATGATCAGTTGTAGCAGGTTTGTGGAAAACCCTTCTTGGAACGAGAGAGATAGAGAGGGAGAGGGAGAGAGAGAGAGAGAGACAGACAGAGAGACAGAGAGAGAGAGAGGGGGGGGGGGGGGAGGGAGAGAGACAGAGAGCTTGAAATACACATTGGTACACATCAGGTGTAGTGTAGTATGTTTTCACTTTTCAGTTCTCTGACTCCCTTATCTCTCCAGTGATTTTTGATAAAGATGGACATGGTCGGTATATTTTTCTCCATGCACACACGTATTATTCTACAGCAGTAGGGAGGTTTAGTTCCCACGTAACGGAAACGCGTACGTGGGTGATACACGTAAAGTGGATGAAGGGCATCCACGTTGCAATGTTGTGTTTAGTCACACGGTACAAACAAAAGCATAAAGCGAAAGGCCCAAACCTGGTCAAAGACGAAGCTACCCGGGCCTAAGAAGCTCATCGAACATTTTGATTTCGTGCTTCGGAAACTTCTTCAGCTGAGCACCCTCACAGCTCGCAAAATGCGCTCCATTCTGATTTTCACCCACGTTCTGGCGGAACGTGGGTGAGCCTCCATACACGGTATGTCATGAATCAGAAAACGTCTGTACGTGGGTCACTGAGTATCACGTGGTACACACACGTAAAGTACCCACGGATTACGTGGGACTAAACCTCCCTAGTATGAGTGATTGCTTTGTCAGTACTTGCTAGAGTTGTGTTGTGGACACATTGCCGCCTCTTCTTATTGGCTTGAGTCTATTCCATTCGACAAGGTTCCCCTGTGCTGTAAGATTGCAAACGAAAATCCCCAGTGGAACGAAAATAAATCAACTCAGAGTTTCATGCTTACAAGTACATAATTAGACTTTGTGTTGTACTGTTCCTTCATCTGTATAGGTATCTGGATGATTTTGGCAAGCTGTCAGTGAACTGTCAGTGCCCAGCGTGCAGTCAAGGCTGTACACGTGCATACGCGTATCACCTTTTGAAAAATGGAGAACTGCTGGCAGATATCCACCTGATGCAGTGAGTTTTATGTTTGTTTGTTTCTTGTTATTGTTGTTGTTGTTATTGTTGTTGTTGTTGTGCGTGCGTGCGTGCGTGTCTGCTTTTAAATAGGGATGTCAACTGGTACAGTCGTCCCTCTCTAATCCGGCACTTTATAATCCAGCACCCTCGATAAACCAGCACAATTTTCAGTAGCCAAAATGTCCTCTTCATGCACATTGCAGCAGTAAATCAGATTTGTTAATCCAGCACCCTCCCTAATCCAGCAGATTTTCGTGGCACAAATGGTGCCGGATTATAGAGGGACCACTGTAGTAGGGTAGCAGTTTGCTCCTGAGGACCCGATCGATCGGGTAGTGGGAGTACGGTGTTTTTGCAACGGTGCATGCAAAAAGCACGGCTATGTGCTTACTGTACACTTTCTATGTAGCGCTAGTGCACACTCACAGTGCGAACTGCATATATGTCTAAAATATCCAATAGGGTACCCGTGCTACCTGGACAGAAATACCCGAACTCGTTACCCAACCAAACCCCTACACGTCGCAGCCCTACTTTTAAACCTCTCATCACAGTGAAATGCTTCTCAAACAACTCATCTTCAATACCGTATTATCTCTGATATAAGCACAGCCTCCAATAATAGCACGTCTCCAATAATAGAACACCTTGGGGCGGCATTCAAAAAATAAAGTGCTCATCTCCATTATAAGCACACTGTGTAAATTCATTGTCTGTACCGGCGAAAAAACCCTGAAATGTGTGTGTCTGACATGAATTTGGCATGGCAACATGCCTCTGAAATGAGGTTGAAATAATAATGGAACAGTCTCCAATAAGGGGCCGTCCTTAAATATCGAACTTTTTTCACCAAACGAATTATTTTAGTTTATACTCAACCCCTCCCTCCCTCCCCCTCAGAACGAAAAAATGTTGACATACATGCATATACAACGGCCATGTACATGAATCAATGTTTTCTGAAACGAAATTGGTCAACCCCCACCCACCCCATAACGAAATTATTTCGTTTTGTGAAAAAAGTTCGATATTTATGGACGACCCCTAAAGGAATGTCTCCATTAATAGCACGGGGCGGAGGTACATTGAAAAAATAAAGGACCGTGCTTATATTAGAGATAATAGGATATGCCTTTTCTTCTCCTGTCCTGTGTGTGTATGTGTACAGGCATAACCTGTACAGCTACATCACCTTTTTCCAGGCGCTGCGAAACTCAGCACAGATCACCGATGCTGGCAAGCGTGCCAACGCGTGGCATCGGCTGAAACAGTGTACCAGAAACTCGACAGCAGCAGCATAGCCGGTTCTGATGAGCAGCAATCGTGGTTGATACCCCATCGTCGTATGTGGTGGCAGAGACTTCTTGCGCTGTCAAGTCTGCCGTGTGCGGGTGTGTAAGTCAGAGTTGTGTTCGTAGCAGCTTTGAGCAGCGGTTGGACAGAATCCAATTTGCTTTGGTCAGCATAGCTACAATCCGAAGCTAGTGGATTAGTCTGGATCAGCAAGTGATTGTAACTTTGCATTGAAGGCAACCCGACCAGCGCCTGGGAAGTGGCAACGAAACACGATGCCACCCTGATCTCTCAGTTCCATCAGGATGAAGTACTTGATAGTATAGCTGTTCTTCTAGGTTCGAACAGCTTTGGGATTCATTGCTTGACCAGCTGGTGTAAGCAGCCGTGCTAAAATATAGCATAGCTCGGACAGCTCTTACCTATCACTCATCTATACGGACCTCTACTTTATGATTATTTGGATGTTTTAGCTATTTGAAAGTACTATTCCCTTACCTACCCTGCACTGTGGCTTATCGTAGCTCCGTGGCACTACCCGCATATCTGCAAACACATGCCAGAGACGAGCGCCACACAGCCAGCCAGCTTCATACACACACTGCTTTTGAAATTTAGTTTCTCACTAATCATTCTATTTTACTTGAGTGAAGTTCAGCAGAGGAAAAGAAACTGCAACTAGAGATAAAGCTGAGTATCAAGGCAAACAGACCATGGATGACCAGTCACATGTTCATGTGCATGAGTCGACGGATGTGGATGGATATATCTATATAGTGTATCTAAAGGCCATGCTGAAAATGGAAACGAAAACATGAAGTACGAGACCAGCCCGCATTCACAGGTCTAGGAAGTGAATCGTATCGCAGTGGTTCACTGCGTTGTTGAGCGGGATGAAACGCACGAGACTTAGCAGCAGAGGCTGGTGGTCCCCGAGCTCACAGCTCGTGGTATGGCATACAGAGGTGGAAAGTAAAGGCTTACTGGTAAGATAGAGGCCAGCGCTTATAATAATCAGCACAGCATCAGAACAAGACCAGCTTGATACAGGGGAAACGGAGAGCAAAGTGGAGTAAACAGCGGTGTACAAGCAGCCACAGCAGCAGTAGCGACTTGAGCCCCTTCGGGTGAAGAAGAGGAGCATTCGCTCCCAGCGAGGACAGTAATAATATTCCAGCAAATAGCACGGTGCAGACTACTTTGCATCAGCAAAGATTCAGCATCAAATGACAGTGACTAGGCAGTGCCTAGGATTAAAAATAAAGAAAGATAGGAGGACGGGGTAAAACATAGCAACACCTGCCTACAGTCGAGTGAGACATGGTCTGCAGCAGACCATCACAACACGGTCATCTACAGCACAGGCCATTGCTACCATCCTGGTCTGAGAGGTGTGATAGCTCTACGATATAGTCTTAAAATACACGTGTGCAGTCCACATGTGGTCAATGTACAGATTTGTGTCAGCGTCTCAAGTTAGTTGATGATCAGGAACTTATTCAACCTTTTCATGCATATTCAGTGGTACCAAATCAACCTGCAATGAAGCACACCAGCAGAAGAGAAAGTGGACTTTTACTCTACATGCGAGAATAACGCAGGGACTGCCGAATCCCCTCATTTATTGGACACTGCAAACTCACCGTTAGTCTGAAAACAGTCCTGACAAGAACCGACAGCTTTGATTTCGACGGAACGCACAAGGATTCTTGTGCTGCATGTATGTGCATGTATATTGTGGTGAGGCTGAGTACAATCATGTACATGTACACTCATACTTTGTTTATCCGGGCGGTCCGGGACCGGCCACTGCCCGTAACTCCGAACATGCATTTCGATCGGGAAAGGCCATAGACATGGGATACGACGTCACTATTTCCACGAAAGTGACAAAAGAGTAGTAATATTTCGGATTATTTCCACTGAAACTCTCCCAAAGGGTGCCTGCTCCGTAGACCGAAGTGCCCGTAACTTTGGGGTCCGGATAACCGAGGTATGAGTGTGTACGCACCGCAATCTTACAATAGAGAGGCTCCGCACTACGTAAAATTTTTTTGGCGTTTTGGCGTTTTTTTTTTTTTTTGGCGGGGTAACCGATTGTTTTTACAAAACTAAAAGTTTTAGTATTTTTCAGCCCCCACCCACCTTTACTGCAGGTAAAACGAATTCCAATAAAATATTTATGTCAATTTTCGACACCCAGAAGTAACTGGGCATTCTCCATCAGCATTCAATAATTATTTTCAAAACGAAACTCCATCAAACCCACCCACCCACAAACGAAAACATTTCGTTTTGAAAATATTATTGGTAACCTTGGACGGCCCCTTACACCAACAGCCTCTTGTACGGGCAAGAACAAAGTGATACAGCTTGTGTTGAAGAAAAAAAGAGAACACTACGTTAGTGGGCGGGAAAAATCCGTGAATTCTCGAGTTTGCACTCTACTTGCGGAAAGTTGTCTACGTAAAGGACGTAGATAGGGCTCTGATAACGTAGGTGCTCCGTAAGTGGATTGGGGTACAAATTTATGACTCTCTCTCCCCAGGTCGACCCGGTCGTACACTGCCGCGTTCCGAGTTGCGAAGGGCAGCTACGTGATTTGAAAACTCCGTATGGCGGAACACAGATCCGCATGCAGTGAACGTACGACTTTCCATAGATTGACTATGTTTACTTGTTTAGTAACGTAATTACGTTATTCGGAACCTCCCTAATATGAGGAAGTTTGCCCATGGGCCATTGTCCATTTGTCCGATTTGGGAGAAAACGACTACAGCACTAGGATTAGAACTAATTTTAATATTTTTTTAAAGCTTTTAATTTATGCTGAGCACCAGTGATGAGATGTGAGGCCAACAAAGTCATGTTCTTATGGTGAAGTCAAGAACTCCCAAGTGCAATGTTGTACAGTTCAGGCACAGCGCACAAACTACTTACATCGGCGAGTTTCCGGCCAAGGTGGCCAAACGTGACGCCCCCGCAGAAGAAAATAGCCGGAAGCCAAGAACGAACAAAGAGGAAATCGGGATGAGTGTACCTGCACACGAGAAGAGAAAGCAGCATGCACACGCACACACATGAACAGTGTTCAAACACCATGTTGAACATTACATCATACAGTACATTTTTGTACGCCCATAAAGAAACAACCCCGGAAAGAATCAGTGAGCGTGATTTCAGCAATGTGTGAGGAAATGTTGGTAGTTCTATGGCCGGTTGCGAACAACCAAAATTGAACTGGGCAATCCACCCAGGATGTGAGTAGGGGTCCGCCAATGGCCAACGTCATCCTGAGCCAGAATCCACAAGGATTCCGCCTGCCACAGAGTGAACCTGCACTTAAAGGGTGAGTTTCCCTGCCGAGCTAACCCTTTGATGACGTCACACGGACGCACGCACCATGTACACGCCCGTCGCTAGAGACGCATGCAAGTCTGCAAATGCACTGGATGTGCACCCACAGATTCTCTTATAGCAAGGATAGCGGATCTGAATCTGAATGAAACAGATCAAGACTAGCGCCAGATAATTGTCTAATCCACACAACTGGCGAAGCCATATGAATCCCCCCCCCCCCCCCCAATGCACACACGTGCACCTGTCCTGCGCACCCCCCCCCCCCCCCCCCTTCCCACACACACACACGCATGTGCCGGTATTTTCTTACCAGTACTGAGATACCACTACTCACGTGTAGAAGTCGGAGAAGACAAAGATCTGGGCTACAAACGTTGCCAGCGCAGCAACGCTGATGCCAAGTCCAAAGCCATAGGCGGTACGGTCAAACAGAAACCACATACCCAGTGACATGGCAGCCAACGACAAAGCAAGGTGCTGATCATCAGAATACGGTATGCTCTGAGCGTGATGACAGGTCAAGGATGATAACGACAAAAAGGCAACAGGCAACACACAAGGGCATAGTACAGTCTCTCGGTACACACTTCGGCATTGTTGGGGCACAGTGTAGCGTGTACTGTAAATATACAAAGCTTGTTGGGGCTTCGGGTGCAACGATGCGGTGCCATCGTCCCGAAAAAGACACGACTTCCTGGTGTGAATAAGCATGGAATGAATGCGCATTGAGAGAGAGAGAAAGAGAGAGGAGAGAGAGAGAGAGAGAGAGAGAGAGAGAGAGAGAGAGAGAGAGAGAGAGAGAGAGAGAGAGAGAGAGAGAGAAAGTATCAACACCGCTCCTTGCATGTTCTAAAGCGGTGGAGTGCGGTTGCATCCAGTGAAACTTGACCCATTGAATGAGTACTTAGTAATCACCAAATCTTCTACAATTCCGGCAAACAAAACATTGAATTGTGCAGTGGAACATGGTGCTGTTTGTCAAGAAATCAGATTTCATTCAGCAATACAGACTACATAATTATACTTCTAAATTGTAGTAATTTTATCGTTTCATGAAAATTAAAAATCGATTTCATGTACCATGCCAAAGCTCATATTATTTTGCACGTTTGCTTTTCACATCCAGCTGCCTATTTTGTCAAAAACTACAGGAGAGGATACGACACTTGCTTGGTTGATGCCCAGGAAAACGACCAAACAGCGCATGACACTGGTCCAGTCAGTCAGAATAGCACTATCGCCATGTCCTACACAGTCATCCACGCACGGATAGACCAAGCCAATGAAGACAGCCGCAGCTCCACAGCACGGTGCGACCCACCAAGTGAACATCGACAGAGTTGTCACTCGATGTTGAATCTGCAATGGGTTTAGCACCATCGAGCACAGAATGCCAACTGAAAAGAGGACACCGACGCGGAAGGCCAGCCTAAAGGCCTCCATCAGGGGAGTACGGGACATCTTGCCAGCAGAGGCTTCTTCTCATGGAAACGTCAAGCATTACTTCGTCGTGGTTGTCGCAAACAAAGCAACTGCTTCTGCGACACGACGTTCAACAATGATGAAGAAGAGCAAAGATTCACTCTGAACATTCATTTCGACATGAGCTCGATCAGGCCATCACCCCAACCAGCTGAGATTTTGAATGTGTGACAGATATGGGATGTGGGCCACGCGTTTCTTGTACGCACGCGTCTTTGTACTCGTATATGGCACCATCTCAAAATGAAAGAATGATAGAGAGATGCATGCTGTTCGTTCATTCAGTTGGTTGACAATCTATCATGTTGTCAGATTCGAGTGTTTTCGAACATATAAATGTTACGTTTGTGGAGCTGCACACCAGCTAAACGCCAAATGTGCGACTGTGGAGTGTGGTGTCACCCCATTTCTCTTCCTCTCCAGAAGGCAGAACACTGGCAGGCCGCGCCTGTGCTTGTCACGTTGTGCTGCTCGCTTGTACTTGTAAGTAAAGTTAGTTGTAGATCTACCTTCAGGTTTAGTCTGGTAGCAGTTGTGCAGCAGCAGTGCCAGTAGTCCTAGAACAAGAGTTGAGTCAGACTGTATAACCGTGATGAGCCTGAGGACCAATGCAGCAATGGAGTCTTGCGCAGTTCTCTTGACTTTGAGAAATGACCTAACTCAACCCAAACACCAGAACACACAGACACATGGTCTCTCTTCTGAAAAAGTCACTTCATTTTTTTGGTGGTCTACGTAAAAGTTGTTGGATCGCTGGCAAGCTGTTTGAGTTGCTCCGCTGCAGGAGACTCAGCGTCTCAAGTGGGCTCTAGAAGAGACATTCTTCTGTAACATGTGAGTACAATCATGTATAATAATGTACACTGTAGTCGTAATTATTTGGTCAAAGCTTGAACGTTTTCGATTTTGGCCGATGAATGAATACAATCATGTAGCATGAGTTAGAACTGAGCTGGATCAGTTGAATAAGTCGTCCAAAATAAACGCTGTTTCAAAGAATAAGTAAGATAAATTGTGCACTCATAACAACAGCAAAAGTTCCATAACGTTTTCTTGTGACTTTCATTAGTGGAACGCCGTCACATAAAAATGTAATAACTAAAACACACACTTATATACATTCACTGGTTTGAGGGAAAGAGACAAACGGGAAAAGTCTGAAGAAAAAATTGACTGTCACCACCAGGACTCGAACCAGGGACCCTCGCTTGTAGCCAGCGATGCTCTAACCACTGAGCTATGGTGTAGTATATACATGTTAATATTATATACATGTACATGTACTAATAATTATGGTTTCAGGTAGAAATATAGCAGCCAGCAAGTACAAAAAGCGATTTTTTGCTGTTGTTAACTTGTTTATATGAGTGCACAATTTATTTTATCAAGAGTACATAACCCAAGAGTGTGCAACTGCCTGCACAACCTCTATGCTGTGCTGCGACGGCAGAACTTCACATCACGTGACATGGTTCAAAAGGTTATGCTGGCAAACAGTGCAAAGTGACCACAAGAGAGTTGTACCCAAAGCTGGGCTGCGTACAACCCAGTATCTATCATGCACTAGAGTGCACGGGTTCATCACGTGATGTGAAGTTCTGCCGTCGCAGACCCCATAGCTGGAGTTGCACACTCTTGGGTTATGTACTCTTGATTTTATTTATTGCCAATTGACGACTATTGTCTCCTCGTCGATTGTTCAAAGAATAAGGGTATAATAGAGGAGAAGTTCTAGTGTACCCTAACTAAAATCAAATTTTCACCAGTTGTAGTCTTCGGGTTGCTGAGTCGAATGGTCTTGGTCCGAGGAAGCTGAGACGCTCCCTTCCTCCTTTTAACATTCCCAAACGAACTCGCCACTTCCACCGAAGCTGGGTGACTGCGCCCTACTAGATGGGGGGTTTGTATGCAAAATGTCGCTAAAAGCGCCATTTCCTTCTTATAAAAGCACGGATGACCGTGATTGGCCCATATGTTGTAGTCTTTTGGACCCTGAGTCAACTGGTTTTGGTCCTAGAAAGCTGCGATGCAGCATTCGGCCCCTATTCCCAATTGAACATGGCTGAATAAGAGGTCACGTGCTCATGCATACACCAGCCACCTGGTCACAGTGTCTGCAGAGTACAACTAATACTTACAGCCTGTTTGGGCGCATTCCTGTCACTCGAGTTGAATCTTGGTGTGAAAGTTGTAGCCTGCAGGCACGGTGTGCGCATGAGCACGTGACCACTTATTCAGCCATGTTCGATTGGGAATAAGGGACGAATGCTGCATCGCAGCATTCTCGGACCAAACCCAGTCGCCACAGCGTCCAAGAGACTACAACATACGGGCCAATTGTGGTCATCCGTACTTTTTATAAGAACGAAATGGCACTTTCAGTGACATTTTGCATACAAATCCCCATCTGGTAGGGTGCAGTCACCCAGTTTCGGTGGAAGTGGCGAGTTCGATTGGGAATACAGGAGGAAGGAGCGCCTCAGCTTCCTCAGACCAAGACCATTCGACTCAGCACCCCGCCGAAGACTGCAACTGGTGAAAAATTGATTTCAGGATATATTTCCCCTTTAAAGAGGTATGAGGAGTATTAAAGTTGCAGATATAGCCATAGCGGCATGTACAATAAAACTGCATCTTAGTGTACATGTTTGATTGGTTGAATCCAGATCGAGATCGATTGAGTGGATCCTTTGGTTCAACCAAGGTTCAATCAAATGCTGCCCTTGATCAAATCTGGAATTTTAGTGATTTTTTAGGGTTTCCATGAGAAAGCAACGATTTCCGAATCATAGCCTGGGGTAAGGCCACCATCTGCTCGCGACCACATTGGACCCTGATTGCACTTTGAAGTACTTCAAGTAGACACATGTTTGGCCCATTCAAATTTCGGCCTCCCAGGCCTAAAACCCATTTTGGCCGCATCAATTTTTCGGCCTGTACTGCTGCCGCCTGTATACACTGTCACACTGAACCTTGCAAAACAAAATTTCGGCCGCAACACATTTTCGGCCAAACATGACTAGACCGAAAATAGATACTGTAAAACGGGTAACTATTGCGACGTAAACATGTTTGCGAATTTTGCGAGAGACCCCGAATCGCAAACTTGGAACAACGCAAACTCGCGCTATGTAAAGTGCAGTGCAAGGACCGACTCGACTTTGTAGAACGACTGTAGAACGACTCGCAAACATTAAACAGCACAAACCATTCACTATTTGTAAAACGCAAACATTTATTGTCGCAAACGTTACCCGTTTTACGGTATTCGCGGAATATTTGTTGACTTTCAGTACACAATTTAACCGTACACGCCAGTGCAGGAAGTGTACAGTAGGCCGCATGGGGCCCTCCGGGGTTACCGATGTTTTTGTTTTGTTTTTCAAATGAAAGGTTCTGGTATGTTCAGCCCCCCGCACACACACACACACACTCACCCAATAACCCTTTCTGCAGGAAAACAATCTTCAACAAGATATGGAATTCGATCTTCAGTGCCAAGGACCATCTGGGCACCTGTGGCGAGATTTCCCTTAGCCGGAACATTTTCATTACCCAAACACCTTCCCAGGGCCCGCTGCCCAGAGGTGGTCGGATAAGAGAGGCTCAGGGTCAACTGTATTTGTAGGTCATACAAGGAAGCTTAATACTGGTACTCCGTCTCAAACTCACACTCACTGCTATGTAATTTCTGCTCCGTGTTCTCTTTTACAGTTTGCATCAGCCGGCACTAATGCACGTGAAAAGTAAAGTTGTTCCTGAAAGTTGTTCCTGTTCCAACAAGAACTCTCATGGCTCAAGATAATTACTATGGATTTCCACTAGGACCGGGTGGCCTGTGCAACATTGTTGTGCAGCGGAGCGAATTTGTTTCAGCTGTGGCAATGCACATTGCTCTGCACACAATAAGAAGCAGGGCTGTAATTAAAGCGAGTACCCCAGCAAACTCCAGGTTCTGTCTGTCTCTGTGCCTGTCTCCCCCCCCCCCACACACACACACGAGCCATGTATCATGTATCAGACCTGCTCAGGGAGAGCGAATGAGATCGCATGTTTAACACCAGACTATGATTAAAATGCATAGGCCTATCGGGGACTTTCTACTAGGTACTTCAAAAGCAGTAACCGAACGAAGGGTCAAATATTCTAGGGGCCGTTGAGTATAATTATTTTGGTGTTAGCATCAGGGAGTAGTACAATACGGTATTGTACTACTCCCTGGTTAGCATTGCGCATGATTGCGGAGTACATGCACCGTAAAATACCGTGAGAGGGCCACGTCAGCTCGTCTTTTTGTAGTCGTGCTGTGGAGGTGGTGTCCTGACACAATGTACCTTGTGCGCACATTGCTCGCTGTGAATTCAACCCGTACCAGGGTTCCCTGATCCGGACTCAGTTTACCTTGGAACTCCCACAAGAACATGCTAAGTGCAATATTATTACTTCAGGTCACAGCGTGTAATACCGCTTTCCCTTTCACTGGCTGTAAAGTTCCAAATAGCGGGGCGTTCTCTCGAGATGGTGCTCTCTCGTGATACTTCAGTCAGCCATGCCAAGAGTAGCCAACTGTGACTGTGGGTCAATATGCGCTGTACTGCCTTCATCACAAGACGTGCCCGTGTCGCACCCTGGTCTGCATTCATGCGCTCAAATTCTGTCTCTCATACACTCTCAGCTGAAATTGCTTTATTCTTTCGAGTCGCGTTGAACGTGTACCGACACAATCTCTACATTTTGGGCGCATGGATTTCACTCAATTCTGTACGATAGTCACATGTGAAACTCCCCAGATCTGGACGTCCCTAATCCAGGCACGTCCACCTATTCTGTCCCCGGGGAAAATTGCGATTCCGCGGCCGCGTTTTTTTCCGCGATTTTTGCGGTTTTTTTAAAAGACCGCGTTTTCCGCGATTTTTGAACTTTTCTGTTGCACTACACGTACACACAGTGCATTGTTCGGTCAGCAACGTCTCATCCGGTGGCGGCTTTGTACTCAAATATGACGAGCGCTTACACCAGAGACTTGTAACTGATTGATTTCACTACATACTCACTGAAAATTGCCTCATATCAACTGCAAACTTGCCGCCGCGAGATGATATCAATAACATTCACCGCATATTTACCGCAAATCCACCGCAAATTATGCCATATTATGCCGCGTTTTTTTGCGATTTTTGTCCGCAATTTTCCCCGGGGACAGCCTATTGGGCACCTTTCACACCCATCTAGATTCAATGTTTATTTGCATGCAGTACATGTGATATCAGGGAGTCGTCAAATATTTGACGACTCCCTGTGTGATATCATATGTAAAGAGAAACTTACCGTATACAAACAAAATGTAGGTCCTTTCTCTTTACATAATACGATTGGCTCAACATCCGAGTGATATTGTGTATGCAGTAAGTACAGTGCTGGCAACAGAAATCCGACCCCCTTGGCGCCGCAGTGCGCCGGCAAGGGGGTCGGATTTCTGTTGCCAGCACTGTATGTGTATTATCCGTAGTTACGGGCAAGTCCTAGCTGCGGCCAGTGTTCAGTAGGCCTTGGCGGATAATGCCGGCAGAAAAATTGGCAGAATTCGGTACTTTTTCTGGTAAGTTTCATGCATGTTTGGTATGTGGATAAAGAAATGGAGCAGAATTCGAGAAATTGCCCGCCATAAGGTTTGTATGGTTCTGCCAATTTCGGTGCAAAAAAAGCAGAATCTGCCACCTTTTCGAGCATTATCCGCCAAGGCCTAGTGCTCAGTCCCAACCCGTGCCCAGGTTAGGAGAGTTTTACTGTACATGTATTATGATCTTATCAGTTGACACGGTGTGCTTGAGGATGCTAGGTGTATGGATACTACATCGATGAAGAAGGGGAGATAAGCACGTGACGAACTATACCGTATACGTACGAATAACACAGCCAGATAAAATTTAAAGGGGAAGTATACCCTAAAATCAAATTTTCACCAGTTGTAGTCTTCGGGGTGCTGAGTCGAATGGTCTTGGTCCGAGGAAGCTGCGACGCTCCCTTCCTACTTGAATCCCAATCGAACTCGCGCACTTCCACCGAAACTGGGTGACTGCGCCCTACTAGATGGGGATTTGTATGCAAAATGTCACTAAAAGCGCCATTTCCGAGTCGTTCTTATAAAAGCACGGATGACCGCGATTGGCCCATATGTTGTAGTCTTTTGGACGCTGAGTCGACTGGTTTTGGTCCGAAAAGGCTGCGATGCAGCGTTCCTCCTTTATTCCCAATCGAACATGGTTGAACAAGCGGTCACGTGCTCCTGGGTGCCCAAATCACCTGGTCACCACGCCAGCAGGCGACAACTTACTTTCACACCAAGGTTCAACTCGAGTTCAACTCAAGTGACAGGACTGCACCCAAAAAAGGTCAAACAGGCTAGTAAGTAAAATAATTAGTTGTACCCTGCAGGCACGGCGGCCACGGTGACCAGGTGACTGGTGTACGCAGCAGCACGTGACCGCTTGTTCAACCATGTTCGATTGGGAATAAAGGAGGAACGCTGCATCGCAGCCTTTTCGGACCAAAACCAGTCGACTCAGCGTCCAAAAGACTACAACATATGGGCCAATGGCGGTCATCCGTGCTTTTATAAGAACGAAATGGCGCTTTTAGTGACATTTTGCATACAAATCCCCATCTAGTAGGGCGCAGTCACCCAGTTTCGGTGGAAGTGCGCGAGTTCGATTGGGAATAAAGGAGGAAGGGAGCGTCTCAGCTTCCTCGGACCAAGACCATTCGACTCAGCACCCCGAAGACTACAACTGGTGAAAATTTGATTTTAGGGTATACTTCCCCTGTTCAACTGTGGCCTAGAACCCACACATCATGGTCACACAGTTGGCAAGACTGAAACTAAGCACTCTTCACTTGTAAGGTGGCCAAAAAGAGACAACAGAGGCTGAGCAAAAGAAGAGAAAACTACATGCAGCACGACACACCTGAGAGTGTGAGATGCAGCCTTGTGTGCA